GAACAAAGCGACTAAAAACATAATTTTCCTCGACATCATGCAGAACAACAAACACGAAGTAAAAGTAAGTCGTTTTTAATTCTACAAGTACTCGAATCGACAAGAACAAAGGAAAACATGAAGTAGCACGAAGATATAATTTAACCTTTAACATGGATACGTCAGAAAACGTGTTTGAAGGAGATGTATGATTAAATGAAAAATTATTTCAGCATCCATCATTCTGGAAACAGTAAGGTCAAAATATCAATTTTATCGGTCAGTGCTTTTTCTGAATTTGGAACAGTATTTGACCTATGGAGTTTTTGCACAAAATGTGTGTATCGATCAATTAGTAAGTCTATGCCTAAAACGGTCACGTTGTTTCAGACTATATTTCATACCGGTAAAATCCGAATAGTTCAAGATGTTGGATTTGATTATTGTAAGACTTGACCATTCGCTTGAGAAAGCTAGACTGAAAATTTTTTTTTCAGACCAACTTTTCGATGGTTTCATAGGCTTTTCTTAAAGCAGTTGATAGTAGAATCTATAAGTTTTATATTAGAGTACAATTGTCAACACCGAATCTGGTTTTTGATAAACATCAGTGGCATATGCCATAAAACTTCCTGTATCAAAGAGGAGAATAATAAACTCGATCACTCTCAAGATTTAATACTTTTTTGGTTAGTCGAAAAACATTCGCATCTCAACTTATTGCTCACAATGTGCTAGAAAAGCGAAAATATTCGATATCTGTTGTTTTTCTATGTTTGATGTATTTTCTTTCATATCACCGCTGAATATATCTGTATATTGTTCACATTTTCTTTTCGTTCAAATGTAACAGTAGCTAGCAAGCAATACAGAGTCAACAGTTCATCAACTCGATGAACTCTGTCGATCAACTAACAGACATGAATGTTGACGCAGCCGAGGTTCAGATCAAAGAAGGTGAATAGCATAAGTAACTCTAATACATATTTTCTGCGATTAAACTGTATGCAGTTTCGTATATGTCTAGAGATCTAAGTGAAGATCATCCGAACTAATGAAGAAAACAATATGTAGAGGTTCTGAACAGAATTTGGCGTACTCAAAAGTTTATCTATGCAAACTATCGATAACGAAGGTATACGAAACATGTATTTGAAGTAGCCGATTAGACAATACCATCTTCATCAAAATACGTTACATAGATTTTCAGAAAATTTTATTTTGAAGAGCAATCATGGTTTTCACTTGTTTTATAGCATGACTCAGACATTACACTTTTTCTCATAAGCAGAAGTATCGTTGATGTTTTTGAAATTTAACTGTTAGTGAAAATTATATGGCGTGATTGAACATAAATTCTAAACAAGTGTTAAGCCAGAGGAATTCCAGTCTTGTTTTGTTTACCTGGCAGACGGCTGATAATTCGGCGTAAACTGTAATGCTATCATCCATGCAACTAAGTAATACTTCATGATCATTATCATGATTGTCGAGACTGTCGATCATCTCCGAGATATTGTAACTGTTCCAGAATGCATTTGTACAATTGTAAAGTGAACCATTGTCTTCGATGCCTCTGAAAACTTTGCGTAAAATTCGAATATCATAGGGAATATTAAAGTCGTCGCGGCTATTTTCGTGACTGAAGATGTAATAACAATTATCGCAGCCATCCCAAATTATAGCAGAAAGACAAAGCGAACAGGGCTCGTGTATGGCAAGAAAAAATGCAATCTTTTGGATCTGGCAGATTAGATCAGTCCGTTATTTAATAGAGCTTTTTGATTGAATGCATTTCATCATGCCAAAATGGATTTTCTACTTCATTATTGATTTCAGTGACAACAACAGAAATATCAGATTTTCTGAGGATACAATGCAAAAGATCTTGTTGCCTTGATCGACATCAACTCGAGTTTTTTACTATGATATCCTGTCCAATAACATCGAAATGGCAGTTGAGTAACTTTACGCTACTCATCTTAAATTAATATAAAGAGAAACAGTTAGCTCGAAACGAAAATTAACTAATGCACGAAAATCTTTCAAAAGTAATAATTCGAAGTCGTTTTTTTTTCATTACTGACGTTATATTGCTTTGATAGTTTTACTAGTTTGAACTGTTCTGTAGACGAGAATGTCCTTTACTTTATCTTTTTTTCACATTCTTTATCGAGTCAATAGAATGAATTACACATCCTTGCCAGCTTCTTTTCTTTCTTTTCCAATATACATATGAATAAGAACTCCTCGATAAATTATATTTTAATGATGAAACTCCCCATGGAAGCAGCCGCGGTAAATGAAACCGAGATTGTTCTAAAGATATAGTGTACATTATTTGAAAGTGCAAGTTAATAATTTAAAATAAAATACCAATGATCTTTTGCTCGGAAATCAGTCATTTAATATTTATTATCTCTAAAATGGCAACAAATCTATCATGTCATTAATTCTCAAGTTTTCACAAAGAAAATTATTCAATTATTTTTCTTTTTGTTAAAACCAAATGTAATTTTGCATTTGTCAAGATCTTACAATATCATCTCGAGTCTATCCAACTGATAAATTTCATCAAGACATACATATTGAATATATTCGTTATTTTAATTTATCACAATTTTATTTTTATTGAAAAATATATCACAAACTTATATGACATCACATACATTCTCGCAAAAAATGTAGTCAATATTTACATGAAAATAAGTTCATTCATGTAGATAATCATCCAATGTTTTAAATGCACCTTCAATAGCTGAATCATATAAAGAATCTTTACGATAAAACATTTGAAGCCAAAGAAATTGATAATCAAGATCAAGAATAATTAAATAAAAATTATAAATATACATCCATAATTTTATAAGCTTGTAATTCAGCTGATGGTTTTGCTGCTTTGAATTCAGTTTCTGAACAAATGATCATAGTAAGTGCATGAAATGGAACAATTGCAGGATATTCATTTACAAATCAACCAGTTGCCATTATAGTGCTTCACCAAAGGGAACAGTATTCTCTGTTACAAATACAAAACAATATATATTTCTTTCTGCATAAATTAGAAAAAATTACTGCAAACATTATCGCCGAATCATTTAACAAGTACTTCAATAGCTAATAGTGTATCAACCATTCTACCAATAAATGCAAATATATAATAACTAAATATTCTTTTAGAAGAAAAAGATAAGAACTTTTCCTTCTAAAAATAATTGTTGTCGAGAAAAAAACAGATTTTTCTAAGACTGATCTTGGTCCCGTGACTAAATATACAACAAGTCATGCGACCAAGATCAGCCTGAAAAAAAATTCCATTTATGAAAAAAAATGGATACTTACTTTTTATCTTTAGTTGCTACTGCTTTTTTATATTTAATTTTCCAATTTTAGCTAATTTGAAAAGATCGAATAACAATTATTTAAAAACATATGATATATTTTAATTCTCAGTATTTAATTTATAATGAACAATATATTGAGGAATAATGTAATCGCTATGAAAGGTAATAAGCTCTTTTTTATCTGGTCAACAGTGGAAATCATAGTTCTAAATGTAAATTGAAAACATATGGAGGAAAGAATGCTCGAATTTCTCTCACATCTTTAAGACTGGGGCCTTGATTTAGTTTAGTACATTGATATACCTTGATAAAGAAGACAAAGACTTATGCCTTCTGCATTTTCTGTTTCTTACTTTTTCATGTCAGATTTGACATAATAACAATTCCATAGCACCTTTTATATTACCCATCGACTAATTAGAACATTCCTATATGAATAAAGATGGTATTAAGATCTAATAATAATCATTGATTTATTTAAAAATTTGATTTTCAAACTCAAATTTTCTTTCAAAAAGTGAACCACAGCTGTCATGTATGAGGAAATCAAATCTAATTTAAGTTGATTGGAATAATACGTAATCAATTTAATCCCTATTGACTATTTTCTCATCTTTAAGAAAGAGATCGCTGAAGCGAGACTTTTAGCTAAAAATTCGACTACTATTATCAATTTTCAAGGCTGGCAAAAAGATTGATGTTCTTCCAACAGTTGACAGGCTCCACAAGTGATTTCTCATTTTCGTATCATTAAACTGTAGCTCTGAAACGATGGTTGGTTTCAACTGCCTAAACACTCCATACTTGTTATCAGTCCAGTGACTGTTTTCAGGAATTAGAATAGTAAGGATATATCACAACGTAATCAGCTGTCATTGAACGCGTGAATAATTTGCTTACAGCTGGTCTATAAATCATGCAATGAACTATTTGAAAAGGAGTATGTAGGGTGGTAGTAGATGCGATCTATTCATAATAACAGAATGACAACTGAAATCCGAAATTGTGATCTAATCTTTCCATAATATATAAAGACTTGAGCCGATCTTGAATAAAGTCATATTTGAGACGAATGAATTTGCATTATTAGTCTGTCGGTCGTTTCCGCTCTGGTTCCTAAGCTTTCTTCGTTTCATATTTGACATTTTACTAAAAGGCACAACTACTAGTAGTTAGGATGCTGCTTGTGGTCATTTTTTTATTTTGCCCTTTATATTGTTCACAAGTAGCCAGACCTAATCTATTCGGAAGAAGGACGTCACTTTCTTTAGTCTCTTAATCCTTCTTTTTTCAAAAACAGAGCTTCCTTTTGTTTTAATAAAAAGCGATTATAGAGTCTCATAATTAGATGGCGATCAAGTTTGCAGACAGTACCTTTGAAATACAAAACGAACTTCATAATCACTCAAATGAACATTAACTAACTTCTTTTGCCTTATTTGAATGCTCACATGATACTTTAGCAATTCTTTTGGGAGAACTACAAACGAATAGGTAGAGATATCCCAGCGATAAATAAATACAGACTAAATCAACTTTTTGTACAGAACTTACACTAAAATATGTTTCTTTTTCATAAAATCCGGTATCAGTTGTATGTTGAAATCCTGCTTGACCTAAAACCAAGACAATAAAACCTATTTTCTCTATTTTCTTTAAATTAATTTACCGTACTTTTTATCCATTTTCACATATTGCTTGAATATTAGTCATAGCTGTACCATGAAAAGCCAAAATTGGATAAGAATATTCTTCACCACGTTTTTTCTTTAGTTCTTCACGTGCTTTACTAAATCAAATAAATGATAAAAGGTAATTAGAAAAACGAATCATTTATTAAATTCCTACTTAAATTGTTCGATTAAAACTGGATAACAGATATATTCGTTTTTCGCTACCATTGCTCTAAAAATAAATAAACCTTAAAGATTAAATATTTTTGATTGAATTACTCACGTAGCATGTCCACTTAATAAACGATAAAATTGTGATTCAGCTAGACGAAAATGAACTTCATAGCAACTGAACCTATTGAATAATAAATCAAGTTAACTGAATAAAAGAAAAACTTTCGTTTTATTTACCTTGTTTATGATTTCGTTCGGATAATAGTTCAAAATATTTAACATCAGTGCTTTTAAGAATTTCTTCTTCATGTTCCATGAATAATACATCTATACTAATCTTAAGATACAAAATCTTTTTATGTGAAATAAAAAAGAGAATAAGAATAATCTACTTTGCTTAGTTGTTGAATTTCTTTAATTTTTCTTGTAATTTTTCTTTTGATTCAAATGTCTGAAATTAAACTTTCAAATAAATAAATATTCATTTTTATCTTCACTTTTTCAATCATTAATCGTTTTTCATCATCAGTCATTTTCGAAAATGTTTTTTCAAGTTTAACATCATATGAACTTTCCTACATAAGAATTTTCTATGAAACATGACTAAATATATTTTATTAACTTAGATCATTTGAATCATATCTTCTATTTTATATCCATCATCCTCTTCTTCACTTTCTAGTTTCCATTTTTTTCATTAGTAGCTATTTCCATCTTTCTATTTGGTTGATTATTTTCTTCTTCATCATCACTATTGACATCTAGATTAAGAAAATCAAATGCATGACAATATTCTGAAAAATGTAATAAATTTTTTTGATAACATGTATCATCAAATGGACATACTGGTAATGTTTTATCAATATCTAGAATAAACAGATATGATTTCAAGGAAAGAAATGAATTTTCAGAGAACCGATTTTAGATATTTTCGAAGTAGTGGAAGTCGATACAGTATCGAAATGTGAAAATTCTTTGACATGAGTTGGATTTTTACAATAGCATTTGTTACCTAAAAGTAGGAATATATATAGGCGAGCAACTAACTGATGTTTTTATTAATTGGTCCATCTAGAATCTGAATCGATACTGGTTCCATTCCTCCTTTTTTTCTCATGCAAAATTGTTTCTTGGAATTTTTTTGTTCAAGAGTGCGATGGTTTTATTCACTGTCATTGGTTGAGTTAATACTTCTTGAAGATATTTTAATTTATATGCTTGTTTTTATCTGTAACTCATTATTTATTTATATCCTTTACAAAAAAACCTATCATTAGAAGAAGCAAAAAGAAAACCAACATTAGTAGAAGCAAAAAAAACCAACATTAGTAGAAGCAAAAAGAACCAACATAAGTAGAAGCAAAACAAAACCAACATTAGAAGAAGCAAAAAAAGCTACATTAGGAGAAGTAAAAAGAATTCTACATCAGAAGAAGCAAAACCGAAAGCCAAAAAAAATATTTTTATAAATAAATGAATTATATTTGAAATTGATCAAGTGATTTATCACATTGTTTTCGTACTTTTAAGTGTTCACCAGGATTATGAATGCTTGCTTGTGCAGCATAAAGTGAAGAATTATCTAAAATAATACAAAATAAAGATTAAATAGAAATTATTCGTTTTTCTTACCGATATTAAATCGATAATCATTTAAATTACACATAGCTATTTCGAAACCTTGTCCTTGTTTTCCAATAAGATTTTCACTAGATACTTGACAATCATCCATGTACTTATATAAAAAAAATAATAGATACTATTTTTATAAATAAATGAATTATTTATACTTGAAATTGGTCAAAAGATTTATCAAATTGTTTTCGTACTTTTAAGTGTTCACCAGGATTATGAATGCTTGCTTGTGCAGCATAAAGTGAAGAATTATCTAAAATAATAAAAAATAAAGATTAAATAGAAATGATTTGTTTTTTCTTACCAATATTAAGTTGACAAGTATTTAAATTACGAATAGCTATTTCAAAACCTTGTGTTTTTTTTTCAATAAGATTTTCATTATGTACTTGATAGTCATTCATAATTTTTTCTTTTGTTTGTTGTGAATTATATTCAATCTAAAAAAAAATAAACAAAACTATTTCATTGAAAAATCTAAAAATAAAAAACTAACTTTTTCTTCTGTTTTATCAAATGATAATCGTGTTGTACCTTTTACGAAAGGTACAACACATGACACACCTAAAAATATTGTAAAGCAACAATTCAATCAAAAAAAAGGAAAACGTACAAAAAACGACCACGAAAAACACCAATACTGCTGAGATTGATATTTTCGATGATGATGAAGATAATGATGAAGATGGTGAGTAAGATCTTGATGACACTGACGCTGATAAATCATTGGTGATCTCCCCGTAAGGAAGATCACCACCAATGTCACTAGTACCAACACCACTAACAACATCAAGAACACCAAAAGCACCAGTCTCGACACTATTAACACCACCACCATCAACATCACCAACACTTTCGACATCAAGAGAACCGGCAAGACTAACAGATGCCGTATCACCAGATGAATTAGGTAAATTTCCATGAGGAACAACTGCAGCATTGTTATACAATAAAACATTAGCTAAACCTTGTGGTGGATGGTAATATTGATTCTAAACCAAAGATTATATAATTCAATACCAAAATCTAATTTGACTTACTCGTATAATTACAGCAGACAAATCAAGTGGCACATGTGGTGGCATCTGAAAAAAAGAAGAAATTATCAGATAAAAATGGTGAAGCATGAGAAAATAAAACAATTTGAAACAGGCAGTGAAGAATGAAAATAACTAAAACTATACACAACTGATGAACTATATAGACAAAGACACATACAGACTTCAATGTAGTTTTGAACTACTATTAATTACATTCGATTTTTCTTAAAAACTAAACAAATGACAAGTTATATGAAAAAATTAATTTTTCCAGAAAAATTATGATTATATTCTACTTTTTATGTATTGGCAAGTAGCGACCTCTGTATTATCGGTAGTCTATATAAGAATCAGACATTTGCTGACTTAACGGAAAATATAGAAGCATTACTAACAGACGAGATATACCTAGGATCCACAAATTCGCAATTCAAGGAATTCAAGAAAATTGAAGTAATTCGAGTAATATCCGCAAAAGGCAATCATGACATCAACGCATGTTGGAATTCAGGGATGTATAGAAAATGAAGAAGATGGTGGAGAATTCCACCAATTCATGGAATTCAGGTCAGATTTTGATCTTTGAGAGGTGTAAACTTAAAATACGATGAGCTTGGCCGATTTGAATAAACGTATGCAACTTTGAGAGCTGTTGCATAATCCATTCTTTTTCTTTGTAAAATAAAATATTGCTGTCTTATGATATATGTTGTTCTTCTTCAAAATATATCTCATGAGTAATGACATTTCGGCGATCATCATTACACTTGTCAAGAATGATTCAGTTTAATGTAACTGAAATTCTTTCAATTTTTATTATAATCAAAACGGAACCTGTTAATACCAAGCATGAAGATAATATTAGAATGTTTTAGAAAAGAAATTTTAGACCATTGAATGTATTTAGAAGAGACGGGAAGACATATTTGCCAAAAAATCTCTTTATATAAAAATGAATTTAAATAATAAAATGGACTGATTATTAAAGAAACTAACATTTTCTTTTTATTGTTTAAGAAAAAGAGACACGAAAAAAAATTGATGAACAAAAGATGCCATCAATCAATGAAGAATTAAGATTATACTTACGATATTGTTCTGTATATTCATCCGAACCATCTTCACAATCATCCTTAAAAACACGAAATATTGAAAATTTTTCAAGAAAAAAACAAAATAAAACTTCTTACTTCATGATTGCACATCCATGTTTCGGCAATATAATCATCTTGTGCCATACAACAAAATTCTGTTGATGTAAAATTTCATGCACCTACAATCAACATCATTTAACATTTTCTATCAATTAAAAAATTCTAACTACAACTTGCTGGTTCATCAAATCCATTCATACAATCTAAATTTATTCAGATAAAATTTCTTTCTATTTAAATACTCGTTTTAACTCAATGAATATTACAATATGAAGCCTATTTGAAAGAAAAAAACAATTAACTATTAATAAATTTTCTCTTCGATTTTTAACTTACATTTGTTATACAAGTTGATCCACAAACGAAAGTAATCTATTTGACAATACAACGGTATTCTACGACCACAATATTCTTGATCATCATCATTCATCGATTGATAATCTAAACATATCAATTAAATCTTTCAATCATTTTATTAAAAAACAAAAACACAAAAACCTATCTCATACCAGCAATCTTATCATACTGTCGTGTTGCATTTATACAACGACGATCATGTGAACATAAAAATTGTTCACTTTCATGTGAAATTAGTGAACAATCAACTTCTACATATTGTCTTTTAGAGGCTACTTCCAAATTGCGGTCAAAAATCACACCTATTTGCGCCCTCACCCACACTGTCGGTCTGCTGATTGGTTTGATCTTTGTCCGCAATTTGGAAGCTACGAAATAATTGAATGCATGAATGAAAGAATGAGATTATTTCTTTGTGTCATTGTGGTTCAAAATATCTGATATGATGGACATTTTTATAACTATTGATTGATATTTTTATCCTGTTCAGAGGATTGTTCTATGAGACCAACAAAGAGTTTTGTTTTAATATTCTATATTAATAGATTATAGATTTATGCAAAGATATTACGCAGCTTCTATATTGTTTTTTTTGTTAGGATACATTGACGAAGGTCATTTACTTGTACCTGTGCTGGCGACGTAGCTAATGAGAACATATGAATTGATAGGAAGTGTTTATTAAAATAACTATCGTTACTTGTCACAAGTATCTTGGACTTCGTTTTCCCGATAATATACATTCTACATACATATTGATTGATATAGCACTGTTTTGAAGATGAGAGTATTTGTAATTTGAATAACTGTCTATAATAGTTATGTTGAGGCTATTTACTTTTTCTGGCCTTGTTTTAGTCATTTTGTTATACGTGCCACTAAATTAATGAACAAAAATTTATTGTTGCAACAAAATCGTTTGATTTCTGAAAAGTCTGTAGAAGTTATGAAATGATATGGAACATATTGAAAATTTGCATCTCATAAGTCGATGTGGTTTACAGAGGTCCAAACAGGCCACGAGGCCTGTCGGCCTGCCTGCCTGTGACAGGCACAGGCCACAATTTTGAGGTCTACGCCTGTCACAGGCAGGCCGCCTGGCCTGTCTACTTTTTCTTCGAAATCGAAGTTTCATCTGAGAATTTCATGATTTTGTTAGCAAATAGATACAACCTTCATTAGTTTTCAAAAAATCACATTTAAGCACGGTGAATCAGACAATACTGCGGAATGAGTGTTAAAGATACTTATAGGAAATCAATACCCTTACCATTCTGAAGAGAAGATGAGCACAAATTTTCATAGTTATCATTATCTACTTGTCATGTTTCTCAATTTTAGTTAAATTAAATGATTCTAAATCCTTTTTTCTGTTGCAGATTTACCACTGATTGAATTCTGTTTCTCTCTTGATTCCGATACTTTGAGTGACATTGTGATTTGGCATAAGAAATTCAATGAAAATATTTTTGAACAAAAATCAGATATCTTCCACAAGTTGACTATCTTAGCATTGTTTTTATTTTGTCTACGTATCACCAATGT